TTTAGTATCCATTTAATCAGGTGTGATGCTCAGTCCATTATGGATGATACATCTCTATCTTCTTATTCGTTATTGTGGTAGTCAAAATGAACTTAAATAAATAATGGAAGACACTGTTTCTTTTGGGTGAGTGTTGTGCCTTGTTTTGTTAGCCGTAGTTCATGCAGAAAGTGATGTTTGTCAAGATTTGTTCATCTTGTTTGTAAGAAAACTTTGCTATTAAGATCCAGAGGATAGTGTTACAACCCTGAGGTAAATCAAGTTATGCTTTCAAGTAGAAGCTTAGCATGCCACTCACGTTGCTCTGACAATGAATATTTGCCTCTGGTTCATCAGAGTTCGTGTCCCTTTTGTAAAGCAAAGCAGGTTTGTTCTTATTGTTGAAGATATCACTTTAAAAAGCAGTTTCAAATAATATACAAACAATATATATATTTTATTCATTATGAATTATATTTGTCAAGGAGTTGAAATGCGAGTTTGATTGTGCTGTTAATTTTTCTTGTTGATATTCTTTTTGTTCTTTTTGTCTGATTAGAGAGAGAGAATAAGTGGAGTGGAAAGGAGAGGAGAGAGGGGAAAGAGAGGGGGGAAAGAGAGAGAAAGAGAGAGAAAGAAAAAAAGAGAGAGAGAGGGGGAGGGAGGAAGTTTATATCTTTTAAGAACTTAATTTACTCTTAGAAACTAACTTGTATTAAAGTTGCTATCTTCAGAAGATAGCAATTGTGTTTTTTATAATCTGACCTTTCTGTTAACCTTGGGGATGTTGTCTATACATGGAAGGTGAAAAGAGGGGATATCAGGAGCTGAAACAGCAACATAAACACACCGCATACTCACCCACACTCACAACTACACACTCACTAACCCACACATACACACTCCATAGAATATAATGTGATGACATAAGTGTTGTAATTTGGGTAGAGTAATGGTATATTGTTTAGTTTGCTCATCAGAAGGGCAGATCACCGTTCTCTCTCTGTCTCTCCTTCACTCTTCCTCTTTGCTCAGTCTCAATTTCTCCTTTCCTTTTCTATTTCTGCCTCTATTCCTATCATTTTCTCCCTTTATTGCTCTCTGTGTACATAACTCTATCTCTCTCTCTCTCTCTCTCCCTCTCTCTCCCCCTCTCTCTCCCTCTCTCTCTCTCCCTCTCTCCCTCTCTCTCTCTCTCTCTCTCTCTCTCTCTCTCTCTCTCTCTCTCTCTCTCTTTCTCTGATGTATACAGACTATCATCACAAATTGATAACCATAGAGTTGAGTGGTCTATTCAATAATGAGCTTTCTCTTCTGTGAGTCACCTTCATCCAACATTTCAGTAATGATTTTTTTCTTCTCCATCCAAATTCTCCATTCATGAATTTGATTATTTCTCATTCAAAACCACATTACAACCGGTATTCAAATTATGTAAGCGATGTGACACTGAATTCTTATTTGCACCAAACAAACTAGTTCTGTCGTGCAATTGTAACGATTCAGGCAACGATCTTGGTTATTTTAGAACAGCTTTTGGGGATATATGCATGCCTTCATCATTAATGTATATTTTGATGCTGATGGCATATTAATTCTGGGTTGTCTATCTATAATCCGTCTGTCTGTCTGCCATTCTGTTGTTCTGTCTATCCTTCTGTCTGTATTTGTATTCTACTATTTGTTTATGATAATGTAAGAAAGCATATATGAACATGGAAGCATTATTCAATTATATTGCCAACAAAAATTAATAGAATTACCTGTAGTGCAAATGCAAATGATTGGGGTATCAGATCAGTAATCTATATGCCTTTACCAATCACCCTCATTTTTTTCCTGTGGTGGAATGATTATATGAAAACCAAAAATAAATTAATATCTGTCCTCCATACATGATTGCTAGTGATCATAATGTATGTAGAATGAGGCACAGTGTAATCTCATCGTGCATGTAATCTAATAGATTGAGGATGCTTCATTGCACATAATCACCATGTGGTTTATAAGGCTTTTCATTGATGAAGTGCACGGGTGTTCACATTCACACGTTAAAAAAATGTGTTTGTAATTCAAAGTTTCAGTCCAAAAACGACAGTGGGTGTTGGCATTCTGCAGGTTGTGAGTACGATATTTCAACATAGTTTACTGGTGAAATTTCGCAAATTTTGTGCTGCACAAAGATTCAATTAGTTTAATTTTGGCCATAACAAGTAGTGGGTTATTGATGTAGTCAAATGCTCATGTACCTGTTACAGCTCATTTTATGTCTGTTATTACCAAAGGAAAAAAGATGTCAGTCACAGTATCTCAATAGTGTCTGACAGTGAAGTCTAGCAAGTAAACAGATTTCCTTGCATAATTTGAATACTAGGACACTGCTGACGTTTAAATTTCACAGAATTCCTGCAAAGTTCTACAGAATTTGATGTTGGCTGCAAAAGGGACATAAAGGGTTTGCAAATGGGATTGCAAAAATTCATCAGTGTGAATCAATGATTTTATGAACATCAAACACCCAACAGTTTCTGCTTTTACACTTTGTATGAACAGTCCATGTTCTTAATTCCAAGGTTTTTAATTTTTCAACCAGCCCGTTGAAACCGATACAGTGTTTTACTCATTTGCTGCAAGTATTTGTTGAAATCAAGGGAAAGCTTATGAATTAGCAATTAATCTCGTTAGCAGCGGGTCAAGTATCAATACTGCTGTTCTGGAGTCAAGTGAAGTTAAAAGGTGTATTTCATGACAATGATGATGTGCTGAATGCATTGATGTGTCACTGGAGGAAGAATAGAGTGATGATTTGCCATGCTTAGTGAATAATAGATCAAAATAATGACTGGGATTTCTTTCTGGGTCACATTCAATCAGACAGAGTACATGCTAATCTTACTCATATGACTAATGGTGATAGTAGCGGTAGATAATGTGCTTTCATTGTTCCAGAGATGAGAGGATTAATGGCAGTCTTTACTTTAGAAAAATTGTAAGTTTCAGGCTTACGTGTCTGAAATGTGATTTGAAAATTTGTAAAGATGTCAGATCGGTATCTAAAGTAGGAGTTTTATAGGAGACAAGAAAGGGAAGCCCTTTTCATGGCTTGAATGGACAGTTGTGCAAATATCACTGTCATAGAGATATATTGTGATCAGGACCGGTGTTTAGAAATAAAGCAATGTTTACATAAATGGAAAGGTGACAAGATATGAAGTACTCTTACTCTAAAATAAATATCCTTGAAGTATTATGCGATGGGAGAGGTATACATGGCTTCAAGCATTGACTCCTGTCAATAAAGAAGTGTGAATGATGAACAGGTTCTACCAATAAAAGATAATGAGAAAAAGAAAGAGAGAGGGAGGAGAGAGAGAGAGAGAGAGAGAGAGAGAGAGCGTGAATGATGAACACAGGTTCTACCAACAAAAGATAATGAGAAAAAAAGAAGGAGAGATGTATATATATATAGAGAGAGAGAGAGAGAGATAGAGAGAGAGAGAGAGAGAACGAGAGAACAAGATAAAGAGAAAGAGAACAAGATGGAGAGAAAGAGAACAAGAGGGAGAGAGAGAGAGAGAGAGAGAGATGGGAAGGGAAGGGAGAGAAGGGGAGTAGTTTGATCAAAAGAAAAGGGGTAGAATAAGAGACAGTTGGAGTGAGAAAGAGAGAGATTAATAGATTAGATAGGGAGGGAGGGAGGGAGAGACAGAAAGAGGAGCAGACAAGATGGATAGGAAGAGATGGAATGAGAAAGGGGCAGAGGGAGGGAAGGAAGGAAAGTAGTTTGATCAAAAGAAAGGTAAATTAATTGGAGTGAGAAAGTAAGGGATTGATAGAGTGAGAGAGGCAGGGAGTGATAGAGGGAGGGAGAGATAAAGAGGGGATCAGGCGAGAAGAAGATGGAGCGATGCAAGGAGAGACAGATAGAGGGAGGGAAGGAAAGGAGAGATGGAGAAGACCAATCATGCACACAGTCATGAGGATAGACCTTTTAACAGCAGTTTCTAAACTTTGATCTCCCTTCCCTGTATTCCCACTCATCAAAATACAATGGGAGCCATTACATATGTTTAGTGGGTGCAAAAGGCTCCCGGACTTGACATTTCAAATGCGTTCAGAGTGGTTCTCATTTTACCTTTAAGTAGGCATGTCTGGTTACCTGACCGCCGCAATGGATGCAAGTAGAACTCATGGTTAGAGACCTCTCGTCATTTTGTAGTCAAAAGGGTAAAGAGATACTTCATATGCATGCAAAGAAATCTAGAATTAAGTTTAAACTCTGTTTGTCTTATATTTTTCAAAAAGTAAAATGAAGTTGTTATGAATGGATTTGAACAAGATGGTCCTTTATTATATAGCATGCATGAGATCTAATACTGCTCACAATATTAAAAAAAAACCTGCAACAATGAACACCCTTCAATTGATACTATTACTTTTACTTTGTACATGCTTCATACCAATTTGCTACTTTGATATGCAAAAAGAATTGACCTTGTAACTCTAAGCCTGTTTGGTGATATTTTGTTATGGTATTTTTGATAAAGAAATCAAAAACTGATTTATTCATTAATCTTTGCCATTAGCTGTAATCATGTAGTTCTCATAGTTTATCAACATTGATATATGAATATATGCAATCTTAGACCATGTTATGTTTGTTTCAGGTACCAGGATACAAGTTCAACTTAGCCTTTGAATAGCATTATTCTCTAAAGAATATTATTTCAGGTACTCGGTGCGAATCAGGTTCAACTCTGTTGAACAAAAAGTACATTATTGAGTGTTACACCTGACCCAGATGAATAAGAACAGAGGATAAAGTTCACCCAGAAACCAGTAAGGCATTGGAAGGGGCTGTTTTGAGAGACCAATTAACCTAGCTAGGAATCCCCTCATGTCATGGTTGATCAGATGACAGTCTCAGATAGCCTGCCAAGGAAATGTTTGTCTTTGGTGAGGATTCTTCTATTTCTCTCCTCCATCAAGGAGTGTTTTGAAAGTGGGCAAATGGAGTAGGGATGGTGGAGAGAGTCTCCCAGGTGCCTGGAGGTCTTCAAGCAACAACCAAAGATGGCACAAGGTCACATCGAAGATGAACAACGATGAACAACGTTCTTATGTACTTTTTTTGTCAGAAGCAAAACTAGAATGCGCAACCTTTCTTTTGGAAAGGTCATTTTCGATCTCTAGAGCTTTGAAGATGATGACAATCCCACTTTCAAAACTAATCAGTAACCCTTATGAATAAAAGAAACAGCTGGCATTTGAAGTTTGGGGATGAATTCATGGATTACTTCTCAAAGATTTATTCCTATGATCTGGTTCCTTGTCAAGTCGGACTTGTGTCAGATCATTTTTTTTCCCATATATGTGTTTGAAAGAAAGTGTTGTGGAATGTTAGCTCTCAGCTAGGACAGTTAAATGCAGTTATGACATCATTCTTCTTCAGTACCTTTCGGATGGAATTATGAATATTGTGTTTTAAATTCAATTTAATCTTTAAAATCTTTGCATGACACTGTTGCCTTGGAAACATTTGTTATAATTTTGTTTTTAATTACTTCAAGTTTTGTATTATTGATGACTTAGACAGTCACCCACATTGCCCAACAATAGTTAAAACAGTTGAAACCTACATCACTGGATATGCGCAAGATAGTCAATGCTATGTGCTGTGGCCTGGAAAGAGACTAACCTAGCACCTGTAGATACGGGGGGGGGGGGGGGGGGGGGGTGTGTTCTGTTTAGGCCTTTTTGGGGGCAGTCATTGTACGCCCTTGTCATCGTGCCTCACAACCCCTTCACACATGCTTCCTGCCTTGCCTGTCTTCTCTCTATTGATTTGTTGATGGTGCGGCCCAACTTCCCAGCAAATATCGTCCAGCCGGCCGTCATAATTGATCTGACGCCTGTTTGGAGGGGGCCATCGATTTCTACCTCTCTTGTATCTCCCCTCTCTCTCTTCCCCCTCTCTCTTCCTCCATTTTTCTTTCTCCATTTTTCTTTCCCTTCTTCATCTTCTCTTCCAGCTCCTATCACCAATCCTTTTATCATATGTGCTTGGTGTTCACCTCTCTGTCTTTCAATTTTGTCCCTTTCAATTTTGTCCCTTTCATGCATATCCCTTCATCAAATTCCTCTCTTCTTTTATGGTGATTTCTTCCCTTCATCAATTTTGTATCCTTTCTAAATATCTTTCCTTGTTGTTTGTAGTCTTTTAGTTATCAACCCAACATGTTAATTATGATCATCCTATTTGTTTTCTATCTTCTTTTTGTATATCTATGATTAACAATTGCTCTTTATTAAATTTTCTACTTTTCATTTGATTCTCATCCATTTATTCTTATCATAACTTCATCTCTAATAAGTGTTTCTTCCTTCGTCATCACCTATCCTTTCTCTCCGATGTCGTGGGTGGTGTGGAGTTTACCTCCTTCTTTTCTCATGTATCGAGCCTCAAATCCGAGATTTAAATCCATGACCTGGCGCCCATTTGTCGCATCGGTTTATTCCACATGACAACCCATCTCCTGTCTCTTAATGTCATCTTTCATGGTCATCTCATACCATTTATACTAATGCTTCTGGAAAGTTTTACAAATATCAAAAGATCAGTAAACAAAGTCATGTTTGCAGTGAAAAGAGTTCTTTTAGTCCATAGAAAACATAAAAAGATGTTGTTGTATAACGCTGCCTGACTTCACTTGCCCTCTATTCACCTTGTCTCTACATTAGAGAGAAATCCTCCCCAGTTTTGAAGAACAAAATTCACTGAAATTGTGATTTAAAAAAGTCTGATGAAGATTGAAAATTGTTAATATCTTAGTTTGTGTAGACGCCAGGATTTAATGAGGGTGGGGGTGGATGAGAATAACGTATTTTTGAATATCCTTTAACAAGCAGCCTTTTCACACATAGCTAAAATTCATCGTATCTAGAGATGATTAGAATCATTTAACAGTTTTAAACATGTTTATAGACAAAATTTCCCAGTGTGAACATCGTTTATACGATGTTGGGATAGATGCGAAGTCGCGATCCATACGCCCCTAAAAGCAGGCTGCAGATACGAAGTTCGTATCTAGAGAGCTTGAGATTTTGTGTGTGAAAGGAAATTCGTGTTTAAACGTGTTTAAACTGGATGGAGCGTGCGCTTTGATTGATATGACATGACCTTCAATGCGCAATGGCACTACTGCGCATTTTACGAGCAGTAGTTAATCACGAAACTATTAACGATCGCAACGAAATTTCTGTGTGTGAAAGGCTCGTGATTAGTTTAAACACGTTCGAAACACGTTTATACTAATCATGTTTATAGAATTTTAGCTGTGTGTGAAAAGGCTGAAGCTCATTCTTACCTCTCAATGTATTCCTTTCCATGAATAATCTTTAAGTTGTCTACGATGAAGGGCTATAGTGCCTGACATGAATTCATCGTCACTCTCTGTTTTAAAACAAAAAGTTTGAGACAGAATAATTCTGCGTTAATGATACCTCTCATTTCCGATAGCAAACATGTCACATTACGAGAGCAATACTTTAAAGACGCCAGATGGAGCCGTAATGGAATGTAATATTCTCTTCGAGCTGTGTATGAAGAGCTTAGTGAGCTTCTCCAAAGCACTTCAAAATCAGAATTGGTAATTTGCTGCTGCTATCAATGACAAGATTGAATGTACAAATTCATTCCTGCTTTATTCAAGTTCCTGTGCATGGAATAAATTACCATTAAACTACCGTCTTCTAATAATTATGTATGCAATTGAGATTCCAGTACTTCTGTGTAATTGTGCATATCTATTGTTCTATCAAAATCAAAAATCCTGACTTTTGTATCAAGTAGATACATTACAAACTTACTTACTTACATAAGATTTTAATAACGAAATTGTAGACATCTTGAACAAATGTGATAAAGGACAAGGGATATTTATATACAAATTGTGAGTAAAATCTATAATTCATGTTTTCTCACGATTTGGTTTGATTACAAATGAGAATATTGAATATTAGGTAATACTTGTTTAAATCTGATAATAACATGGTATAGAAATATACCTTTACCTACAATGCCTAACCTATTTGCGTTTAATCCTCATGGGAATTTTCACACCCATTTTGTTTATGATCAGCTTTAGTTTATCTTCAAGCAGGATATCTCTTCATCTGTTCTACACAGCAACAAGATTATATCGAATTGTTTCTACTCTAGCTCTATAGGTCATGATGGTTGTTGATAGCATCTGAATTTCATATTCCATAATTCCCAATTTGTTTGCATATAAATCAAAACAGAAGTGGGTGTGGGGTTGTTTTTTTTGCTTCTAATTAGAGCAATAGATTCCAGTATGGGATCGGTTTCATAAGTTTTGTTATGTTTTTTTTTTTAATTTGAGTTCATGAGCTTATCTCTGCCAACACAGTAATTTGAAATCAAATTGGCAATCTTTTGAATGTGCATGTAGTTCGCAGCAAGTCTGAAGAAGAAAAAAAAAGTTACCAAGTCTTACATGAAACAAGTAATGAATTTTAAGAGTTTTAAACTTTCTTCAACAACTTCCACTGGTCTTTTGTAAGCACTCTGCTTTGTTTTTGTTTTTGATGAGTACCAAAGCTATAGTTGTTCATGAGAGACTTGTGGTTAAGTGCAATATCACATTCACTTGAAGAATACTTGAGGTTGCTTGTAAATGATGGTTGATGATGAGGAGTGAACAGTATATACCTCTAGTGGCATCTTATATGGTGACGGACAATGAAGTACTCTTCGATTTCACAATACCCCTGAAAAAGGAAATGTAAGTGAGACGGAGAATAACAACTTGTAACGTTACTTCGTCACTCATCTAAGGATTGTTCAAAGTGAAATACTAATGGGCAATCACCGAGCACCCTTCTCTCTATTTTTGCACCATTTAGATAGTTGGCGACTCTGTTAATTCTTTTCTCGTTCTGTTGTAAGGGAAGAAGAGTAAGAAAATAGCTATGTATGGGAGGTTCACTGCTGGGTTCAAGTTTTTGTGCATCTCCTCCTGTTTTTTTCCTGCGAATGAGATGGAAATATGTGATGGAAAGCACTCGAGGAATTCGTACTTGAGCCAAAACGGTGTCATTTTTTCCCTAGCATCCATGCAAGGTGGCAAGTGCGATGTCCGGGCGTGACTTTTTGAGATGGGTTCGTATGAATTCCAGTCTGTGGAGCTGGGTATCGATACTCCCTCTCTTGAGTGTGAAAGATTGAGGGTCATGTGACCATCTCTGGTAGGATGGATGAACCGATGGAGGTGTGAGGTGAGAAGCTTTAAACCCAGCGTCGAAAAAATCCAACCCCGAGTTCTTTCTTGGACGGCCGGTGTGTCGCAAAGCTCGCACGGCTCGCGGCACAACGTGTCGCTAATCACATTACCCCGGCAGCAGACGCATGTTCCGCGGCAGGTGTGGTTGCCACGCGACACGCAGACGACTGCATTCGATTTCACCCTGGCCTCTCATATACCAACCTCTCTTCAAAAGACCTCAACCAAACCAAATTTGGGGCTAGTTGTTGCATTATTCATGTGAGAGTAGAGATACACTGAAGTCTAGACCCGAGAGAGCTTTTAATATCGCAGGGTTAACAATTGGTCCTTCTCTTACCCCAACCAACCCTTCTGTTCTCATAATACAATGACAGATATTAGTACAGGTGTTATACATTATTTAAATACCAGTACCTTTAGCATAGTTCACCACCTATGTACTCTGAGGGGCAATCTTGACGACATTTTTGCTCTCCTTGCTCTCAATCAGTCATGTATTAAGATGATGGTAGCCCGAGGCTCATCTCATACAACACATTAGATAAAGCTGTAAACAGCAGCATGTTCAGCTAACCCTTCTTCATCCATGATGCAACACACATTTTGTGATGTGTCTGACACAGGAGTGAAAACACCCGTTTTGATAACATATGTAAACAAAAATGGGGGAAAGACTGAAGAAGTGAAACGCTTTGTTGATGATTTAAAGAATGAATGTGTTTCATAGATGTAGTTTTATTTTAAAGAGATTGAAAAATCATTGTAGAGTAGTGTA